AGTAATGAAAAACTGCACTCATTACATCCCTCTACAACCGAACACATCATTCATCCGTTGTCGCTGCTGCCTCAAAATGCAAGACAGATTCTGGACAGGCAAAATTACCATGTACAGTTTTGTTTGAGGTCTCTTTTAATTTTTCCTGAAAATGCTATTTTAAAGAAAAGACATGCAATTTATTTGTGGATTGCACTTCGAATAGATATTCTTACAAATATAACAAGGGAAACATCAAAGGAAGAAGAATGTGAGAAAATGATTGATAAAATTTCGAATTTATAAATCTGATTGTCCCATTGTAGTTACCTAATACCCACTTGGAGCCACTTGTATCAAGAGAAAATGCACAACATCTTGGATCTTATCTCCTAATACCCATTGTGTATAATTGCTTTGAACTTAAGCAACAAAAAGTTACACTAGGACGTGATTCAAACCAATAGATAGATTCTATTATTAATGTTGGTGCAAATTCTTTGAATTTTCAATCTCAATGGTTGAATAAAATGGCATATTTACAAGTGCTACAACTTGGTCGTTGGCAAAATTCACCTTCACATCACATTGAGATGGCGATTGAAGAATTCCTAAATGAGTTGAGGGATCGAAAAGAATTGAAGTATCTTAGTCTTTGTGGGATATCAAGAATATTTGAGCTTCCACCCTCCATTGCTCAACTTGAGGAATTAAAATTTTTTATCTCAAAGCTTGCCACAGTTTGGAGACACTTCCCAATATATTTCATCAATGAAGCCTCACACATCTCATTTTATCCTAATGTTACATGTTGAAGGGCATGCCAAAGGGGATTGACAAGCTCACTTATCTCCATGTTCTCAAGGGATTTTTAATAAGTAGTTCTAGAAAGACTCCCTGCAAAATAGTAGACCTTGCCAATTTGAAAAGAGACTAAGGAAACTCAGTGTATATATATATATATAATTTGAGGCTGTGATCAAAAGATATATAGGGAGTTTGAAAGCTTGGAAGAGTTTTCATTAAGTATCTCAAAATATCATGGACTGTGTCTGACAGAAGTTACAGTAATATTCAAATTAACCACTTTGATTGAAAAAATTGCATCTTGAATGTTTTTCTGGACAAAAAATTCCAGAATGGTTGAAGCCTAGTGAGGTGCCCAACGTTTTAAAAGAGCTAAAAATAACTGGAGGAAAACCCCAAAATATGAATTGTGACAATGATATATACAAGTGGCATGTGAAGATTGTGCGTCTTAAGTACCTAAACCATTTGAAAGTTGAATTAACAGATTTGCAAGAGTTGTTTCCTACGCTTAGTCATGTAGAAATAAGATAAATCTCAAATCATTCTTACCTTGAATGAAGCAGATGAATTAGCAAGGTAAAAGTAAGCCTATGTCATAAAACTATCCATGTATTTTGTCCAAAGAGCAGTGCTATTTACACAACTGTGTTTTACAAATGTATGTATTTATCTAGAGTAAGGACAAGTTGGGAAAAAAAAATGCCAACCATTGTAAATAAATTGATGTGAAATGTATGTATTGTTAACCTGCTATGAAAATATAGAACTTTTTGAGAAATACTAAGTTTATATTCTAAAATATAATATTTTTTTAATGTTGTGCAGATTATAAGAATTTATTTTATGCATTTAAGCTATGCATATAATGTTTCAAATAAGGGAACTATGGTTTCAAATAAGGGAAAATACTTATATTTTATAAGTAAAGAAATCATAACTTTTAATATAATTAAGAGTTTAAATATGATTTATAGTGTGTGTGAACTATGGTTTCAAATAAGGGAAATGTGCGTGTGTTTTAATATAAGAGTTTAAATATGATTTATAGTGTATGTGAGCTATGGTTTCAAATAAGGGAAATGTGTGTGTGTAAAGCTTATATTTAATATATAATAATTTTCGCATTCAATTTACAAATGCTTATGTTTTTTACTTTTTGAGAACATGGTAATTAGTGTTGCCTTGAGAACCTTTGATGAGGTTGATGTTGGTGTTTTGAGAATGCAATTAAGCTCTTAAGTTTTCCTTTGTTTATGTTTGTTGTGTGTTCCTGTGTTAGGATACACACTTCAATTATCCTTGTTGTAGCGGGTCTGATCCTAGGTTTCGGTCTTCTCGTTCCTCTCCGAGCAGTCCGAAGTGAGGGAGGGTGTCTGCAAAGACACTCCAACACTCAAGTAAGTGCTCGACGTAATAAATGCGGTAGTTGAAAGTTAGTTACGTACCTCGCTGGGGTTCTATTTATAGTGATTCTTATTGGGCCGCGATTAAGGACTGGGCCCCGGAAATTAGGGGGCTAATCCGGTGCATTACATAAATTAACCTCTTCATAATTATCCTGGCGTAAATCCGTGACTTGGCCGAGCACACCGACACGTTCCGTTCAGATTGTGAGTGGTCGGTGGGCTCGGGTATTCGATCTAGTCGGCCACGAACTCGGGTATTCGGCCTAGTCGGTCACGAACTCGGGTATTCGGCCTAGTCAGCCACCATACAGTATATTGTGGGTTAAAGTGATAAAAAGTCTCATTTGTTCCATAGAAATGAGGATCAAAGTACAACGTCTCACTGCATATATATTTCCTCCATTTTCTTTTGTATAACGTGCATTAAGCGAAAATGGGATTGAACCAGCAGTGGGACTGGTGTCTCTTCAACGACTTGATTGTTGACGTTTAGGGCTAAAATTAAGGAGTAGTATAGCTAGTTAGTAGTTAGAGGTTTAAGAAACTTCCTAGTAGAGGTCTTTTTGTTTTATGGGAACCTTATATATGTATCAGCTTCTTTTTTTGTATTATTTTAGTTCCTTTGTTGTAATCATTTATTTATTTTGATAAATAAAAAGGTTATGATACTAAAGTTATCATTATATCATTAATTACACTTGTCTTTTATTACATGTTAGAGCAAACCTTTGCTAGTACCGTACTGAAAACATGTCAATTTGACTCATGGAATAGAAAAAGAAGTAACAAGGCATATACCAATTACAAAAGCCTAATATTGTTAAAGGCTTAAAAACAAAATGGTGAACAAGACTTTGGTATATATTTTAAATAGCTTGGATTTGTAACATTAGAGTACATCTCAATCTCACAACGGGCAGCATGCTGCGTACGACATATTATTGTATACCATTGAATGCAAATCACAAAATATTATGAATATTTAACATCTCAAAAAGTTTATCACACGTTTCATCACCCGATCGACTTTGGCATGAGAATGAAGGATTTCTCATTATCTTTTAATAAAAACTTCCTCGATATGAACTCGTGATTTAGGTCACATGTGATTGAAATAACTTATAAATGTGGCTACTTTCTAAATTAGGAATACGATATAACTTATTATTGGGAAAAAACTCAAGTCCCACATCGACTAGAAATTAGGCAATTGAATAGTATATAAGTGGAAAGCAACCCTCACCTTACAAGCCGGTTTTATAGGCTTGAGTTAAGCTTAATCTACTATTTTATCGACTAGAGATTAGGCAATTGAATAGTATATAAGTGAAAAGCAACCCTCATCTTACAAGTCGGTTTTGTAGGGTTGAGTTAGGCTTAATCCACTATTCTAACACTTATTATTAAAAATGATGGTTTATAACCCTATCAATATCTTATGCTATCTGTTTTATAATTTATCTTCTGTTTTATAATTTATCTTCACAACCTCTTTTTCCATTTCTTACTATTGTGAGTAGCGGGAAGTAGGCACTGCCCAATTTCAAGGTCAGGGTGCAATGCAATAAATTTCTGCAAGGGTTTAAAATAATACTTACACAACCTACGTGTTAACATATTTTTTAAATGATGACTAAAAGTAAATCATGAAGATATAAGTTTAAAGTAAACAATATCATAATCATGTGGAGATGTGTGAAAAAGTCTATAAATAACAAGATGTAATAACATTTCTTGATAAATATATCTCATTAACAAACATCATCACATAATCATAACAATGGTATTAGAGTCGTTAATTGAATTGTAGTGACAACTAATAACTCATAACACATACATATAACTAATAATAAATTTACGTTTTCAATTTATATGTTTTCTATATTTCTCCTATTATAAATAAATTTATGATACTCCGTATACCTGATTAATAAATTTCTTTTGTTGTTAAAAAAAATACAAACAATAATAAAAATATAATACAATGACAAATTTTGCTAAATGTGAAGTTAGATCTTTTGTTGAAATAGAATTAAAGTCTCATATTATTAAAACAAAAGAAGAGAAATAAGAATTTATAAAAATACTTCCATATTTCATTGGTAAAAAATCTTTTAAATAATGATCAAAAATAAAATTATGAAAGTGTAAATTTAAAGTAGATAATATCTTATTAATGTAAAAATGTGTGTTTAGATACCTTGAAATTAAAATCATGTGGTCATTTTTAACATAAGAACAATATTATTTTTAGACTAGAAATAATATCTAACATTAATGGTGTGCTCGAATTAATTAGATAAAGATTTTGGTTATAGATGCCCAACAGGTTGAAGAACTTCTCCTTCTCTTTCTTTGAATGGTCCATGAATCCTATGGATTGTTTAAAAGGATTGTAGGACAAAAATATGACACAACATGAAATTATTCATAACGAGACATGTTGCTAATAGTGTAAAGTGGGTTATGTCAAACAAAACTGTCAGATGAATTATGCTGGGTCTTCTACCAACATACATCTGATGTTGTTGGAAAATAATAACTCAAGTAAACGGAAGGGAATAAGAATATTGTGTGTAACTTAGTTGAACTATTAATTTACTTAAAGAAAATGAACAACGGGTTAAGTTTATCGTAAACTAGTTATTTATGTAAAAGTTTGGTTAAGTACGTAAAAGGGTTTGAGTATCCTTGTACTCATGTTTAATAAAAATTTCTTTTGGCTTGAAAAAAAAAACATAAAGCCACCGATTATGTTGGATGGTTGTTTATACAGCATAACAAACAACCAAAAATCAGGCATCAACACAAATATTCTTTCCATACAACTTAGATTTCAAGGAAACATCATTTATATTCTGATCTACCAAAGAAGACAAGGTAAAAATAGTATCAAAAGTTGTGCACCAAGAATAAATCATCCAAAAGTCTCAGATTTCAAACGATAAAAATGTCAAGGCATTGTTCACATGAACGTTCAGTTACGTCCAACCTTCAAACATGTTCGTCGATTATGTCCAGGTTTCCCACATAATCCACAATGCACTGCCTTCCTCTCTTTAGGAGTAGGATCGTGCTACAAATTGAGAATAACAAATTAGAGTATCAATATATAAAATAAGAGTCCATGTCTCAAACAATGCTACATGCTAAATTCCTACTAAGCAAATTTTCCTCCAAAGATTTCACTCTCCTTTTAATGACAACTTTCAAACTAAATGCATTTCTTGTCATTTTATCAGATTTTCATATGTTCCATTTGATTGCCATGTTTAATAATTATTGATTAGTTTCTTAGGCATGGTCAAATGGGAAAGCAAAATCACTCAACTTTCCAAAGGTACTACTTATCTTCTGCATTCATTACTTCTACTATTTTTGACAAGCCTAATGAGTTTAATATTCGTGTGTATTTTCTTTGTGTCATGTTATCCAATTAATAATAAATTTCATTCTAAACACACAACAATGTTAGGGTAATATACTGGCTGGCATCTATTAAAAAGTGAGGGGAAGAAAAAGTAATCCATGCTTCGAGTACGTACCCATATGGGAGGTATACCAAGAAGATCACAATCCGGAGTTTTGTGTCCATATAACATACATCGGCCACAAAAGTAATACATCTCTTCTCTTGTTACTCTACTTAAAGCCTAAAATTATGAATGCATACGAAAAACTCGTTAGAGCTATATACTCTGGGAAATAAAATGAGGACAACAAATCATCATAAACCAGACTAGTGTAAATAATTGTATTCATTGTCATTAGTCATAGTAATTAAACAATATAAATGCGGACATTGAGTATGTTTGGATAATGTTTAGAAATTTTTTTAAAATAAATTTATCAAAAAATACTTTTTATTTTCAATAAAAAATTCTTAAATGTCATCGTAAATTATATCCAAACAAACACTTTACATACCCACTTTCGGAAGGATGATGAAAAGCAAGTTAGTTGTCCAACTTGCCCACATTCTTCACACAGTCGATCAACCACACCATATTCAATACACTTCTGGGCATGGATTCGTTGACCATTCCCATAATACAAACGCAATGGGAGTTCTCTCGGCTGCAAAGGCAAGAACAGGAATGAAAACAACAAACTACAAATGTTAGAATAGGCATCAAGTATTATCAGTTTGACAGATAGAGTACTAAACTAAATATCCATGTAATGGTCATTCCAAAAACATCATCCCAAATAGTATTTTTTTTCTTCTAAAATTAAAAGATTTAATAATTTATTACAGAACTAACCCAAGAAACGTTATAGTGGTGCATGCTTTTTGTGGATAGTATTAGCTTTGGAAAGAATTAAATATGTTCTTGGTTATTAAATTTTTATTGAATTTTATTTTTAGCTTCTCAACAATTCTTTACTAATTTTATGCTCCAAACTTTTGTAGATTTTTATTTTTAATTCTCAAAATTTTCTTCTCATTATACTTTGGTTTCTAGTGTCAATAACTTTTTGTTCATGAAGAAAATTTTTAGGAAGTACAACTAAATAAAATGTGTTCAATTACTAAAACTAAAAATTATTGACAAAAATTTAGAGTCTAAAAACATATATAATCTTTTTGAGAAATTATGAAAAGAAATAAATGAGAAGTTAGGGATTTGGAGAGGAGCCTTGGAAAGGAGTAGAAGTATAAGACAAAATAAACAGAATGCAATTTTAGCAAAAATGCATAATTCTCTAACTTTTTTAAAAATTGGAGAACATACAATACCACAAATTGCACGTTTTAAGTGTTGGAATAAAATTTTTATCAGTAGAAGAAATATTTGAGACCCATAAAGAATAAAAGTTTTAGAAATAGACAACAAGAACTAAGTAGGTTTTGTTGTTATTGTAATATTTTCTTAATTTTGAGAAATGATATAATTAAACTATAAGAAAAGTCATAAAGCAGTACATGAAATAAACAAAAGCCCAATACCCAATATTTAGTAGGAGTTAGAAGCTATCCGAGAAGAAAATCCCATCCCACGTATTACATCAAAATAGACTAAACCATTAATTCCAATTGAAAATCCTGGCATTTTGGTTGAACCAAATACACAAACTACTGCAGGAAGCACAAAGCTTAACAAAACCTCCTGTTACTTTTCCATGCTGCATCTTCTAAAATGATTTTTTGGCTGGGATAATTCGGATGAAGAAGACATGTTAGGATGGCTCCTTTCTCAAAAGTACTTCTAATTACTAATATATTCAGTATCAAGTGTATCATCTACTCAGAAAACGGATATGAATTATCATCATACCTTCTACAAATTACAACATAACTCCTAGAAATTTCCTATTTTGAGGCCAGAGATTAAAAAAAAAAAAAAAAAAACACACACACACACATAACTAATAAATTCCTTATTTACCTTAGACCTAAAAGCTTCGGTGCTGACAAAAGAATGAAACAAATGCTAAACCATGACTAGGCAATGCTTAATATGCCACAAGAATTCAAATCCAGGCAACTTGACCATGAAAGAGAGGAAGGTCAGTAGGAAATAAACTTTTCTGATTATCCTTAATTAGTGATAGAGAAAAAAAAAATGAATAAACAGCATCAAAAAATGAAAAACTCACTTTATTGGGACCAATCATCGTTGGTGCAGTTTTTTCAAAATGTCGGGGTTTTGTTGAACTTAATCTATCTTCCACGTCCATGTTAGGGTCACCCTACCTACACAAATTGCATACTTTCAATTTTGCATTAATAAAAAGTCTTAGTGCATGTACTAAATCCAAGTCATCCGAAAATTGATATATCAACAAAGTTTCTATTATACCAAAAAGAAGTGCAGGAACTTTTTTGTAAGCAATTTTGATAAATTCTACGAGAAAAAAATGCATTAAATTGTTTTTACACACAGCACGTGATGTGGATTGCTTAATTATACTGACAAGGATTTGATAAGACAGAATATTTTCTTCAACTTTTTTTTTTTGAAAAATGAATACCAAATTAAGTTCCAGCTTCCCAAACAAATTGATTTTAGTGCACTCACACTATTAGAGCTTGCAACTCATGAAAAGTTGTTAATGAAACCCACAAAAAAATGTTGAAATCATACTGTTAAATTAGATCCACTAGATCTAGAAGTAGCTTCTAATGAATTTTAAGAATTTAGATATTCAAGGCAAAAATAGGTTTCTTTTAACTATGTTTAAGAAGTGATTAATGGGCTAATAATGCATTCATTGAACTAAAATTTCCTAAAGTCCATAATACTTCCTAGAGAAAACATTTACAAATTAAACTACTAGATTTTTTTTTTCTCCTTTTTCGCGGAAAGGCTCAATACAGAAAAAAGGATCTCAAACATGATAGATTGTATTCAACATTTCATAATTTCAAGTCAAGAAAGGAAGGTCAGAATAGTAAAAGCTCAAATCTTTAAAGCAGCTCCTCACTTTTACCGAAGGTGTCCCTTTGTGTCCAAATTTGTCCAACATTTAATCATAAACTCAAATCCATCATTCGTTAAACAACTATATTAATTTTCTACATGTATCACCACCTATCCTAAAGAAAGAATTGAAAACCAAATCTTCCGAAAATGGTTCAACAAAATAGAACTCACCCATGCATGTTTACCTCTCTATAGAGAAGTCTTGTCCACGGTCAATAATAAGAGAAAACTACTAAAAAATATATATTATAATCAGATCATAAAAAGGACAAGCTTAGAGTGTATTATTTCTAATAATATATTCCGTTTTGGCCACTAAGGATCCTATTAGATAAACAATAATTGATTCTAGTATGTTGTGCATTTGGTTTTATTATTATTATTATTATATTATATTATATTTTATTTTATTTTATTTTTTTGTTGTGACTGGCTGCTTATAGGTTAAATTTGTAACTTTTGGTATTAATCGTATTTTATTAGATAAATGCATGTTATCATCATTTATATGCAATGAGTTTCTTAATTAGCACTTCCCCTCTCAAAAACTTTATCCCACACACCGATTTTTAATGAGACTGAAACAAAAAATAGCACGGGTAAAATTTGACATGTAGTACTTGTGGATTGTAATATCAATTATATAAATAGTACAAAAAGATATCTTGACACTAAACATTTGTGTTCCATCTTTACACCTGCTAGATTGGATTATTTTTTGTAAGTTGGCTACTGAACTTAGTTGTGAGTCTTGTGACAAGTATTGCATAAGAACCAAGATCCACTTAACCTAGATACCTAAGGTGTTTAATGCAGCACCTTTATAATGGTATTCATAACTCTAACCAATCAAATGAGTTTTCAAATAGATGACCAAATATCTAACACATAAATCATCAATCAACTACAAAATCCTTTCATAATAGATCCAGGACATAAAGATCATAAAGTTTGGGTCCAAAAACCACTTTCCCAACAAAATATTGAAATTATACAAAATAATAATAAAACAAAGTCTGTAACTGGAGAAGGAAAATAATATATCAATAATTAACATTATAAAGAAAATGACAACTTTGACGGCTAAGCAAGACAGATCATCAAACATAACTACATAGAATTCAGATTGTTGGTAAGTATATGGCCAAATACCTTTTATCATTTAACAACTTATCCATTTAACCAAACACAAGTCAATTTTAGTCCTCATCAAGAAGCACAGACATTGAAAAAAAAAAAAAAACCGCAATAACAACCCCAAATTACACTGGAAATTAAGATCAAGAACCAAAGTCTCAAAGGCCAACTAATTACAGAGAGTATTTGCAAACAAATAAAGAATCAGTCTAATTGATGGATGGATTTGAGCATTGAATTAATTTAGATTGAATTTACCATCCCACACAAGTAAATGAAAAGAAAGTGAACTGATTTATGTTCTTTTGCATAAAAATTGAATACTCAAATTTTATTATTTTGCAAAATAAATCAACAAATTTATTTATTTATTGGTGAATAAATTTAGGGCAGGAACAGGGATCCTCCCCAAAAAAAAAACAATTGAGGGCTTTTTTTATACCAAAAGAAAAATCAGATGGAAGAGGAAAATCAATGGGACTGCAGAAAAAAAAAAAAGAGTAAAAGAAATATCAAAAAAATTAAATCCCCACCACACAACCCTATTCCAAGATGATTTAAATTCAAACAAACTAAGTAATTGAGTTAATCAACAAAGTTTACCTCAATTTGAGGATTAATGAGCCAGCTGATTGAGGAAATTCAACTTAGGTTTCAAAGCCCTTTATGCTGCCGCTCAGACAGAATGATACACAACACAAACCTATCAAAGATAAGAAACATATACCTAGAATAGTCCAAATATGGTAAAAAATACAACTGGGATAATGAGTAACGCTTACAACACGTGTCAGCCATGCAGACAGAGAAAACATAATGGCCACAACGCGTACAATGTATGAAACATTAATTGGAATTCATAAAGGGTGTATTGTTTTATGATTGAATTTCATTCTGGGCAGGGTGTGGTTTGAAGTTTTGTTGATAGTTTCTGGTTTCTTAAGTAGCAACAATGAAGAACTTAAGGAAACAGGCATAGCTTTATTTAATATGGATTGCATTCTTGCAACTCAGTTCAATTCCACCGGTTGTTCAGAAATTTATGTAGTTGAATTAGTTGACTATGAACAGCGAAGTCTTACATATTTACTAATTTTCTCTCCGTTTTGACTGCATCAATGAGTTTATATATTTTATTTCTTCCTTCTTTTTGGATTTCTATTAAATTATGAAAAAATTGAACTTGAAATCAATTTTATATTTTGTGTAATTTGAATGTAGTCACTAATGTTCATCTTCTTGTTATAAAACGTGCAATCTCCTCTTGAATATATGGATGCAACCAATTATATATATATATATATATATATATATATATATACGAGGTTCCAAATCTGATATCGCGTCGGGCGTAAATTAAGCGCGCCCGGCGTGGTAGTGGTCAATTTGCCTAAATTTTCTTTAAGAGAAGGCCTTATCTCCACTCAGAACCAGAGTTACCTCATTCCTTACACTCCAAACAATATATACCCTATATTTACCCACTCAAGCATGATTCTAACAATTAACACATAACACAAAACAACATATAACACAAAACAACATATAGCAAACATTAACACTGAAATCTAAAACACGAATGAGATGAGAAACACATAAACAAAGTTCAGATCTCTAGGTTGCCTCCCAGGAAGCGCTTGTTTACTGTCCCGAACCTGACAGTGACCAACTTGAATTGCTCTAATTCTCCTTCTCCTCCTGTTGCTATTGTTCCTCCTTGCCCTGTGCTCAATCTCAGGATTGCTCAACAACTGCTCAGAGGGATTGGTCAATCTAGTTCAATAGTACCTTGCATACAAGAGAAAGCAGAAGACTAGAGTACACAGGTTAGCTCCAACAATTCATTGCTAACATAAAAATAAAAATAACAACAAAAGAACAAGTCACAAATAGCTATAAATACTAAATTGCCTTGCTAATCCCCGGCAACGGCGCCAAAAACTTGTTGAGATTTCCGTTGAAACACTTTTGTTATAATTGTAAATCAGTTTAATTTTATCAACGGTCTCAAACACGACAAGTATATCGGCCGTTCAAGTAGTAAAATTATCGTATCCACAAGGATTAGAAGGTAACATAAGCATTTATTGACTATTCGTGACTAAAGAATAATTCCATTTTGTAGTTTGTCATATGAATGTGAATTGAAGAGCATGACTACTGGAATGTTAAAACTATAAAATATTGGTTTTAGTGTGAAAAAGGGTAGAAATGGTATTATGGTTTGTGTGAGATTGTGGGGTCAGATTTCACCAAACGTCAAACTAATGAATCCTTAATCTCTTGTTACATACATTGCTTAGTCAACCCATAAGTTTACTCAAACCTAATCCCTTAGAGCAAGAGCCTAGGTGCGGATATTTGAATATCAATCCCTTGAGTACCCAATATCTACACCCGCATTACGGGCTAGGGTTTAAGACTACTAATGGG